CGTCCACGACCATGCATCGCACTTAGGAGACTTAACCTTGGGCCGGCCCTTAGATGGGCTCGAGGCCACTAAAGGGATAGGGGAAGGGCGAGATTGGCCTCAAGCGGCTCTTATCAGTGGTGTGGAACCTCTTGACCATCTCTCCCTATGTTCGAGTCGTTGGCTTCGAAGTCGCCTAGGTTGAACCCCTCTAGGGGGAAGGCATCTTGCCCTTTGGTCGTTACGGAGGTGGTCAGGGACCAATGAGTTTGATGGTCGATGATATATGGGACGTCTCTTGACGAGGCATAGCCGAACTTCACGTCGATTGTTGGAGGATATCGGGTCCCACTCGAATTACCAACAACCTCGACGAGGCGCACCACTCGACCGGCGAGGTTATGGTGGACAGTCTCTCCCCATGTGGGGTGAAAACAAACCTGCATGTAACAAGGCATCATGACCTCTTGGGGTCAACTAAGACACCTAGGAAGAAAGGAGTTAGGTTCCCATGACCTCGGTAGAGGTCGGGGCTTGGAGTTAGGTTCCCATGACCTCGGTAGAGGTCGGGGCCAAGCCCCGACCAGCTCCTCCCTGTGTCCACGGTCGTCGACCTTGAACCAACTCTAGATTCTCATAAACTTGCAGGGGCCAATGACCCCCTATGGGAGAGATCGGTTGGCAGTCACCGACCAAAAGCCAGCTCCGGGGTCTCACAAACCGATAGGCATCAACGACCCCTACGGGAGAGATTGACTAGGCATACGGTTAAGGATCACGCAACGACACCTTCCTTGTGAAGCAATGCGGAATCCAAACAAAATGTAATCACAGCTTGGTCGTGCACAAATCAAGAAGGTCCTTGACCCACGAGCCAAGGCTCGATCGAGGGAAATCTGAGGATCAAGCAGAGGGAGGTCATGAAATGACCTCTCACACAAACATGGCAAAGTGATCCTTCTAGCCTAGCGACCTTGTGCCTAGGGCTGGATATCAATCCAGCTCGACTTGTTATGGCTCGGCTCGTTATGGCTCTGCTCATTATGGCTCATTATATAAATGAGCCAGAAGACTAGCTCGGCTCGGTTCGTTAGCGAGCTCGAGCTAGCTCAGTTGGCTCGCGAGCCAAAACACAAAAACACAGTACATAAAGATTATAACCTCAAGTTAGCAACAAACATATCACATGCATATTTAAAATAGAATAAACAAAATACATATGAATTTTGGACTTAGTCTCGCATGAACATGATGCCGTGGGTTAGGCCGTGTTTACACCAAAAATTGGGAAGAAGAACGCGGGAACTTGAAGCTTCCAAGATTATGTCATCAAGGAATCGATTGTATAAGGATCGATATCAGCTGATTCAGATGCGGCACTAGAATTGGCTCTCTTCGAATGACGTCAGCAAATAACGACGATGAGCTACGGTTGGCGTCGGGAAAGACATGTCGGACTCTACAAAAAGGGAAAGATTAGGGTCCAAGTTATTTTAAGTTAGGAATATTTTACACCAAAGGTTGTAATAAGTCGTACTTGAGTATGATTCATGCTTAGATTCCGGGTATAAATATTGGACCCCGGCTATTATAAAAAAGACAACCAATCAATCAATACCAATTACTTTTTTCGGCTTTACGCCAACCCTTAGGAGTAGGAGTAGTGTAGATCTCGACGAGTTCTTCAACAAGCAGAGCTGCATTGGTCTGGCCGACCTTCGGCTTGTCTGTAAATACCGTCATGGCTTATACTTCAGTTCGTAAGGCTGCATTGGTTAAGTTCGACCTCTATTGCGAGCTCTAGCATAAGCTAGTTATCGATCCTTATCTAGTTCAAGTACGGCTGCATCGATTAAGTTCGACCTCCACTGCTCGAATTAGATTAAGGTCAAGTTATCGGCTCTACCTAAGGGTGACATCCTTCTGGTAGATTTATTAAGTTACTGATCTTGCTGATCTTATTTTCATTAGTTTTCAGCAATATCAACCTGCCCGATTGAGATCGATCTAGATCGGCCTCACATCCTTTTAATCCATCGTTTATTTCGTTACATTGCGATGGTTCTTACTCTAAACGATGGATTATGTTTCATCGACTGTTCTGCTTCGATCTTGGTCGTGCATAGTACGCGGCCAATGCATGTCTGATCTTGAGAAGATTTACTAGCTAGTTAAATCTGGTCTATAGCTCGCTATTATAGATGTATCTATCCGGTCGACCCTCACTGTTAGTACCTTAGATCGGAGGATGCTAGTTGGTAGATTTGCTTTCGACCAGACATGACCCTGGCTGTTTGCTATGCCCGCACCGGCTAAATAGCCGATCGCCCGTGCTTTACCACCCACAGTGTGTCTCTATGGTTCTGTTAGATGTAAATAGATCTATTTATTTTAAAGGTTTGATTTGTTGTCTTTATCACGACCGCCATCGATTAAGTCGAACCCCACTGTTAAAGATAATAGGTTAGGTCTGATGAGTTTATAGATCTGTCTATGTTAAATAGTTGATTGTTCACATGCTGTAGTCTCCTTTTCTACCTGAATCGTCTATTTCAGCTGATTCGCTTGTGCTTTCACACATATAACATGTCTTTTCAGAAAACCTGTCAACGTATAGACAGTTTTATGAATTCTTCGGTTTAGTTTGTTATTATCATCATAGCTGTCATCGATCCGGTCGAACCTCACTGTTGATTGTAACAGATTAGATTCAGAGCGTTTATACACCCGTTTGTACTAGACAGTCGATTTGTTTCACAAGATATATCCTTTCTCGTTAGATTCATCGGCTCAATGCATTATGCTGGTAATATCCACCTAGCTGATGATTTTACTTACATCTGCGTGCATTATACTTATCATCATAAAATCAACCGCAACCCACGAGCTTTACAGTCCTTAATAGCCGATTTCTTCGCGTATCAGCTGTTTAGTCGATTTCTCTGTTTGGCTGCTCCCAAAGCGGCACACTTGAAACTGTCTGGGCAAAACCGGCATGTTCCACCTTAAATTACTGATAAACTTTCTCTCCTTGTCAATTGCAGGTCAAATTGACTGGCACGCCTTCGGAAATTCACAGGATCGGCTAGCCCTGCGTTGAAGCCAAGCGGATCTCTAGCCTTGCTCCATCAAGCTGATCCTTCCGGCTTGCTGTGTGTCAGGCGCATCGACACGTTTTTGCGCCGACAAGCCGGTGGGGTGACTGGGTGGGCCCATGGGGTCTATTGGTCTAGGGTTTTAGTGTTTAATCGTTTCGAGCCATAGGTAGAGGGATATATGGATTGCTTGAAGTTGTATTGGGCTAGGCCGAGTGATATATGGACTGATTGTAGTTGTTGTTATATGAATTACATTGGCTCGTTTTGGCACATGAGCGGCTCGCGAGCTGACTAGAGCTAGCTTGTTAATTAACCCAGCTAGCTCGTTAATTAAAAATTCAAATGAGCCGAGCTCGAGCCGAGCCACTAACGAACGAGTCGAGCGAGCTAGCGAGTTACGAGTTTTTCGTCCAGGCTTACTTGTGCCAACCACACGGCGCCGACCCAATGGCTCGAGGGCTCGCCATGACCACAGGGGGAGCCGTAACACTTGAACAAGAGATCCCTCTTTATTCTATACCCACAAGTACAAGAGCGGTCGTGCCGCTTACAAGGTACGAAAAGCTCGATACCCCCCTATTGGTGGTATCGATGAAGTCCTGAGGGCGAATGCTATAAAAGCAGGGAAGGTGAGGTCAAGGAGTACCTCGCAAGCCCCCCTATAACATCATGGCACCAGGGCCAAAATGCATGTGGAAAGAGACAAAGGCCTCAACGGCTCTGGGAGTACCTCCACACGCACCAGGGGACTTTCAAAAAGCGCCCCCGCAAGCTATGGAGCTACCGAAGTGCAGCCATGTCACTACCACGCCATGCACGACGCAGGCAGCGTGACTTACCCTTATGGAGTTCCACAACCATTGCCATCAAGTCATCTTTCATTAAATTCAAAAAACTTGATAAAACAGTGGGAGACCATCTGGACCGGGTTGTGTTATGATTATCTGGAAAATTTTGCCTCTCGTTGCTCGTCCTAATAAAAGGTGCTACTAACATCTCTTTTTCCCGGTTTGAAACTTTAGACATATCATCATGATATGGCTCATCCATCGACACCGAGTTGTTGCTCGGTGCACCAAACAACTTCTTATAGTATTTTGTAATATACTTTTTGAGGTTTACCTTCCTCTTGCTCCAACTGAAAATTAGTTAGTTGAAGTGGAAATTAGTTAGTTTTCCACTCATATTCACCTCAATCTATGTTCTTTGAAGTGGACTGACATGAAAATTAGTTTGTTTTCGACTTTAACATACGTGGATTGATGTGGATATATACAAGTCGAGTTAAACAAGTCTTCAGTAAGAAATACCTCTTTAAACTTGTGTAGCATGGAATGAAGGAAATCGCAATGCTTGATCTACCGTTCTCTCTCAATGACCGTGATATGGACTAGTGGACACGGGCTGCATTTATTGGCTGCCAAATGCATACGTAGAACAGACTGTGAGCCATGCGCAAGTACGGTCGAGATATCTACATCGAAATTCGGATGTTGTGTCCTGGCGGGCCCAGGCTTTGTTGGCCGGAAGTGCTGAAGATAGCGAGATGACCACTGCCCAGTGTCGACCATCCTTGCTTGCAACTGGAACTTTGCTCAACCTCCATCTGTCATGATGGATGTGAATCTCCTTCAACTTTGTTTTGAGATTAATAAAATCCGCAGGAATATCTTGTAGGTCCTCCTGTTCTGAGCACCGTACGTCTTCTGAAAGAGAACAGTAAGCTCCTCGTCAGATTCCACTGCTTCTCCTCAAATATCTTCTTTCTTTTTTTCTATGTTTTTTTCGACTTATGTTAATACTTTCTTCTGCTTGCACGCAAAGTATTGTGCTGGGAAATCTTGCTGAAGCCTGCTTTCCCTGCAGCTGACTGACAGAGTAACTGATAGAGCAGCTGCTCCGACGGAGCCAGGAGGTTGCTATATGGAAGCAGCCGACGGGGAGAACGCTCTGCTTCTTCATCTCCAACCTACTCCGCCGGTACTCTTTGTCTTCTCTTACTCAGCTGTTGTGCTTTCTGATGCTTACTCAGTAGTTTTTGTTTTGGTGCTTTGTGCCCTTGTAATCTTCTTGTTCAGCCGTACCCTCTTGTTTGCTATATATATTTTCTTCGATAATAGAATATTATATAAAAGTTTTCAAGAAAAATATATCCAGGTGATACAAATTCTTGGAACAAGCTTCTAACCTCTACTCAAACAAGAGAACAGAGACAGGATAGGAATAAAGATAACACATATTACAGTGACTATTAATCCTTAGACTAGGCCTCATCCTATGTGCCTGAGATTCCACACAATTTAGTGAGTATCGATCCTAAGATTAATTAATCCTCTTGTTTGCTGTATATATAATATAAAAAATGTAGGCAGGGGCCTCCCCTGCTTCCAAATAAAAAATCTGATGTGCTTTGGTGATGCAGGTTGTAGCTTCGGAGTACGCAAGTGATGGATCAGTTGATATCAACAAACAACCTGCTCTCAAGAAAAGTACAGGGAACTGGAGGGCATGCTATCCCATCTTAGGTACCAGAGAAGAGAGCAGCAACTCATGCAACCAAAAAGTTCCTCCTGGTTGTTTTTGTTTTTTCTCTTCTCTAGTATAATAACCAGTTCACTTGTTCAACGCACATCAGGTGTTGGATTCAGTGAATGCATGCTGTTCTCTGCAATCGCGACGAATTTGGTGACCTTACTCACCACTGTGCTCCACGAGAGCAAAGTGGATGCAGCGAGAAATATCTCCTCCTGGGCCGGAGTGTGCTACCTCACACCACTTCTTGGGGCTTTCGTTGCGGACAGTTACTTGGGAAGATACTGGACCATGGTCGTATTCCTCCCGTTCTACATCGTGGTAAGTTCTTCAGAGCAGCAACTGATGGAATCGATCCGATCGATCTGCGATTGAATATGAATGTAATTAATCTGCAGCTAGCTCTGAATATGTTGCTCTTTGTCAGGCAATGCTCGTCCTGATATCTTCAGCATCACTCCCAATGTTGTTCCAGAGCGACGTTCACCCTGCACTGGTTTACCTTGGTCTCTACCTTGCCGCCATTGCCAGCGGTGGTGTCAAGCCCTGCATCTCTGCCTTCGGGGCTGACCAATTTGACGTCAATGACCCGGTGGAGCTGGTGAAGAAGGGCTCCTTCTTCAACTGGTACTTCTTCCTCACCACCACCAGCTCCCTGCTGTCTGGCACGGTCATTGTTTGGCTTCAGGACAATGTTGGGTGGGCAGTCAGCTACGTGATCCCAACAGTGCTCATGTTCATCTGTTTCCCTGCATTTTTAGCTGGCTCGAGGGTATACAGGTTTAGGAAAATGGGAGTAAGCCCCCTTACCAGCATACTTCAAGTGGTTTTTGCAGCTGTCAGGAAGTGGCATATCAAACTGCCGGATGATAGCTCGCTTCTATATGAGCAGGCCAATTCACCTTCTACAACTGAAGCAAGTCATAAGAACAAGCATACCAATCAGTTCAGGTGATTTAGTTTTTACTTTTTACATACAAAGTGCAAGTCAATAATGTATAGTCAAATCGACATCAAGAAAAACTGTTTCCGTTAAACTAATATAAATCTTGTAAACCATGTTGTTTTTCAGGTTCTTTGACAAGGCTGCCATTGTCGTCCCATCAGGCAACGAATCCACGGCGCAGACGAGTCCATGGAGGCTCTGCACAGTGACACAGGTCGAGGAGCTAAAGATGCTGCTTTCGACGCTCCCTACCTGGGCGTCGTTCGTGGTTTTCTACGCAGTCACGGCTCAGATGCAGTCGACGATGATCGAGCAAGGCATGCTCATGGATAACCACGTTGGCTCGTTTGCCATCCCACCGGCGTCCATGCCCATCATTGCTGTGCTCAGCTTCCTCATCTGTGTCGCCGTCTATGAAACCATCCTAGTGCCGTCGGCGCGGCGCTTCACCGGAAACGAGAAAGGCTTCTCCCAGTGGCAGCGCCTCGGAATCGGCCAAGCTCTGTCCATTCTGACAATGGCGCTTGCTGCGTTGCTGGAGACAAGGAGGCTGGCGATCGCGGAAGCCAACGGCCTGAGGCATCAGGAGGTGCCGGTGCCAATGAGCATCCTGTGGCAGGGCCCAGTTTTCTTTGTGCATGGTGCGGCCGAGATGTTTGGTTCCATTGGCATGACTGAGTTCTTCTACGACCAAGCCCCGGTGACCATGAAGAGCCTGTGCGCAGCGTTCGGGCAGCTCGCGATTGCCTCCGGGTCTTACTTCAACTCAGCCGTGCTCAGCGTCGTTGCATTTGCCACAACACGCGGCAGCCAAACCGGGTGGATTCCGGACAACCTCAACGAAGGCCATCTCGACTATTTCTTCTGGATGATGGCCGCTCTTAGCTTGCTCAACTTAGCTCTGTTTGTGCGTTACTCAATGAGGCATAGAGGCAAGGTAACATAAGAGGCACTGAGCAAGACCTTGGTTTATCATAATTTAGGAAAATATGAACAAAGCAGACCATGGAAGCTATATGGACAAACTACTCATAAATAGTAGCATTGTATGAAGCAGCTAAGGAACAATAATGTGCCTAGCCAACATGAGTGTCTAAGCATGCACAGAATGTTGAGTAAATGACGCAGAAATCAATAGCAATTATTTATCTTATCTTACTAATTATAGGCTCTAAGAGCATCTCCAAGAGACTATCTAAAAAAATTTGCTAAATTTACTGATTTAGCTATTATCTAAAATAGAATCCACCTAAAAAAACTAGACCAATCCAATAGCCTCTGTAAAAGTTTTTCATTATGTATATTCAAAGCTGCCACGTCATGTGGACTTTTTCGGATCATAGCATCGCGTAGGAATTTCTCCGTCACAGGGCTCCGTCGCTCTGTTCACCGGCAGTCGTTCTTCGTGCATAGCATGCTTGCTTGACCGACAGCTCTTGGTAGACAGCTTTGCATGCCTGTCTGCCATGCCCATGCATACGTACGTGCATGCAGGGAGCCAGCGAGGTGGTTGCACAGGAACAAGACGAAGAGGCCACACCATGGATGCCACTGCTCCGAATCGAGTGGAAGAAACAAAGAGAAGAAGCTACGAGCGAAGCACCGATGGCTGCTTTCCGGCCTGCCGGGAGCGAGCGTATGTAATAACCAGTCCAGCGTGCGATCAAGGCGCGTTCGCGCGGGAAGTGGCGACCATACGCGGGAACGGGCTGCCGAGCGCACGCAGAGCCGCGATAGCGAGCGACATTGGCTAGCCAATGCTAGCGACCGAAATTTCCGGGATGGACAGTGAGCTATTTTGGAGAGGTATTTGCACAATCTGTTGGAGAAGCTTTTTTCTCAATAATAGCCATATTTAGCTTTACAAAATATTTTAACTAGTCTCTTGGAGTTGCTCTAACATAGCTTTCTTCTTAATTCTCATCAGGTACTCCATTCTCACAATAATAAAAGCATCTACCCTTTAATTACATAGACTCTAATTATTATCGCTAATTTTTTTGCGAGTAATTATTATTGCTAATAAGAGTCATTGGATCTATTTTTAAAAAAAAATCATTCAATTACTAAATAGAAATCCACCAGAGCCTTCACGTTAATTCTCACCGGACACTCTAGAAAAAAAATATAAATCCTAGAAATTTTGACAATAATAAAAACATCTATCCTTTAATTTGATATACTCTAATCATGGTCGCTAATAATAGCCATTGAATCTACTTTGTTTTATAAAAAATACCCAACTCTGGCATTAATAAAATAATCATGAATCTTGCATCTAATTTCCACCTCTGCCATTATGAAAGATAACTAAAAATAACTGTCTAAATTTGCATCTAAATTACCCATATCACGCATTAAATATAATTCAAAATAACCACTAAATTTATATCTAAATTACCCACCACACCCATTATGAAAGACAAAATAACATCCTTACAATTTCTATAAATTATCCACCTCTACTATTGTGAAAGATGCAAAGTAATCCATTTGCATTTGGAGTTAGTATATTTGAAAAGCATTTGAGAGATCGGCTTGGTACATGGTTTTGTACCCACTAGATTTATCCAATGCCCCCTGCTGGGGAAGCACCAGAGAAAGCGGTACATGGGTGTTGATTTTAAAGTAGCTAAGATTAAGTAACGAATTTGTCCGAGGCTACCCTCTAACATGTTAAGTAACCTGTTGCTCCCCTGTATGAATACATGGCAGGGACAGACGTCGAAAGGCTCCATATTATTGTACTGTAGCTACTGCAGGGGCAGACGTCGAAAGGCTCCCATGCCGTACTGTAGCCACAGCAGGGACGGGCACCAAAGTCAGCCCTGCTGTCACATCCAGTCACTGTAGTAGTGCTAAGGGTCGGAGATCACCAACAACAAGATACCGATGGAAACCCCCTCGGAGTGCCCCGATCTTCACGACAGTAGGTTGGAAATCACAAGATAACTTGCTGTGAACAGCGGAGGATAACTAGCTTTATACCTGCCAAGGTTGGATGCGACCAAGCGACGGGGAGAGAGGCACCGAAACCGCGAAGACTTCGACTCGATCTCCGAACGACCGCAGAACCACAACCGGAGCTAATCCACACAAGGCGGGACAGCCGTGCTGGAACCCGCAAAGCACGAACTAGTGGATCCCAGATGAATCTCTTCACAAGTCTAGGAAGAACAAGGAAGAATAAGGGTTTGAGTAAGCACTCGGCAGCTCGGCTGCAATATCACTGGAATTATCAAATCATCAAAAAAGGTCCTTTTCTAGTAGCCTAGAGGTAAAATTTATACTATGAGAAGTCTCTAAGATAGATGTGAACTGAATAAGCCATGTTGGGAGGTGGAAGATCAACGCACGAGGTGGTCTTCAGTTTCCACGTGTCTTCTGGGCTTCTGGGCAGTCTTTAATGTTTTGGTCATAACTCCTTCCTGGAAAGTCCAAATGACGAACCGTTGGATGCGTGGAAAGCTAACTTCATCATCTTTCCAACCATGTATGCTATGCACCACGAATTATTGTAGAATGGTACAGTTTTTGCACGGGATCTTTAGCTTCATGCAGACTATTGAGCTTCAGAGCAGTCTTCACTAAAACTGGTCGGACGCCACGCTAGACACTCCAAACTGGTCGGCATGACAGCATTGGAAACTAGGCTTCAAGATCTCTCCAACAAGTACTCATTCACCTTCATAGCCTTTGGGAGACAAAAGAAATGACTGTTTCTTCTGGATGGTTCTGTCATGCTGGGTTGACTCGAACGTAGCTCTTCTCTCTGATCCATCCTTGATGTATCCTTGTCTTCCTTCTCGGAGAACCTGAGTAATAACAACATGCACGACTTAGGTAGCTCAAAATTACCATCAATGTTTAATTGAAACTCACAAAGTAGCGCGTGCACCTCTTGCTGTATCTTTTGGGCGCGGCTACGGGTGATTGGTCCAGTAAGGACTTGGAGTGGTGTATCAGCTGGTGAGGTGGTCGGAGAGGTTGCCGAGGTCGGTGAAGTGGTCGGAGAGGTCACCAAGGTGGTCGGAGAGGTCACCAAGGTGGTCAGAGAGGTCGCCGAGGTCGGTGAAGTGGTCGGAAAGATCGCCGAGGTGGTCGGAGAGATTGCTGAGGTGGTCGAAGAGGTCGCCGAGATCCTCGACGCTGACATGGTCACATCAAGCAGCATGGCAGCCTGACATGTCTGTGTACTAGGATTAGATGGGTAGAGTTGTATATATAGCTTCCCACTACAACTCAGTAAAGAGAGCGAGTTCAGTTTTGCCATCTTCTCTGTAGAGCTCTGGCCAACGCTAGTGCTTGTGCTGTGTGTGTGCTCTGTTCTCCCTCCCTTCTTCTACCTCTAGCCATAGTCTATGGCCGGCAACACCGGTGAGTGGTCGGCTCACCCGTTCTGAAGATCCAGGGCCAACAAGTGGTATCGGAGCCGTACAAGCGCCATCGTCGGACTAACCGCTGGCGATAACGGAAGGTTTGGAGATGGGCGACAGCAGCGGCGCTGCTGTGGCTGCCCAGCCACGACAGGAGGTCATTGTGCGCACGGTGCGGGAGGTCAGCAGCATCAGTTCGCCGACGCTGAATAGCACCAACTATGGCGAGTGGGCGGTGACCGTGAAGGTCAAGCTCAGAGCCCGATGGCTCTGGAATGCTGTTAACAAGGGCACCGACAAAGAAAGAAGACGACATGTCAGCGTTGGGGGCTATCCTCGCTGCTGTGCCAGCGGAGTACAGGGAGCCATTGGGGGCGAAAAACTCTGCTAAGGAAGCGTGGGAGGCCATTGCAGCGATGCGCGTCGATTCCGACCGCGCAACGAAGGCGATGACCCAGCTATTGAAGCAGGAGTATGCCACCCTCAAATTCAAGGTTGGTGAATCGGTGGAGGACTTCTCCCTTCACCTGCAAATGCTCATCAGCAAGCTGAGGAGCCATGGCATCACTATCGATGAAGAAGAGGCGGTCTCCAAGTACCTCCACTCCGTGCCAGCGAAGTACATCCAGATCGCTCTCTGCATAGAGACGATGCTAGATCTGTCCACCCTCACAATTGAGGATGTGACTAGTCGGTTGTGGGCGGTGGACGAGCGCTTAGAGTAGGCGACAACAACAACGGACAACGACAAGATGCTACTGACAGAGGAGTGGGCTGCCTAGAGGAAGAAGTCCAGGGAAGCCTCCTCCAGCCACGGTGGTGATGGCAAGTGCCGCGGCAAGGCTTCTTCAGAGAAGAAGAAGAAGGTCGACCCCAACGCCTGCCAGCACTGTGGGAAGATGGGCCATTGGGCAAAGGAGTGCCCAAATCGCAAATAGGAGAAGAAGGCTGAGGCTCATCTGGCGCATGCTGCTACTGATGATGAGGCCACTCTCCTGATGGCGACATTCTATGCACTGCACGACATTGAGGCCAAGGAGAAGGGAGAGGTGACGGCAGTGGAAGGGCACGGCAAAGCTCTGAAGGCTGTCCACCTTGATGAACCACGCATCCAATTCCACCTCTGACGTGTGGGCGGTAGATAGGAGCAGCGGTGGTACCTAGAGTCCAGCACTAGCAACCACATATCGGGCTCCAAGGAAGCCTTCTCTGAGCTTGGTGGCAACGTGATAGGCACGATGAAGTTCGGTGATGGCTCAAGGGTGGCGATTCGAGGGCGCCGCACCATCATCTTCACGTGCCAGAACGGTGAGCACCGCATGATAAAGGATGTATATTACATCCCGTAGCTACGTTCAAGCATCATCAGCATTGGCTAGCTAGATGAGCGAGGCAGCGAGGTACTGATCAAGGACAACATCCTGAGGATCAGGGACCGAGAGCAGCGCCTTCTTGCTAAGGTGAAGAGGTCCCAGAACTGGTTGTACCTGCTCGACTTGAAGGTGGAGCAGCCGGTGTACCTGGCAGCACAGCACACCGAGGAGCCATGGCTGTGTTATACCTGGTTCAG